CATTGAGCAGATAGAGAACAACTGAGGGGCCTCGGGCCCTGGTCGGGGGCGGGTTGGGGGTGTGTGTTAGAATCGGCAGGCCTCCCTCCGCGCACATGGCGAGCCCTCGCAGGGGAGCCCCACTCCTGGGCCCGATCAAAGCTTCCTGGAAGGCACTGGGCCAGGGAGCGAGCCCATGGCCTCCCGAAAACGCTGTCCCGCCTGCGGCGTCCTGGCCCAGTGCCAGCCCCCCAGCCAGGCCACGCAGTGGGGCGCCTCAGCCTCTCACCAGCACGGCAGCCACGGTCCACGGAACTGCTGTAGCCGAGAGAAGCTTCTTGGTTTCAGTCTCTTTCCCCCTTTTCTTGTGGGACCTGGGCACAAGCATCCCAGCCGGCCCCGCTGGGGAGTCCCGTGTGCTTCTAGCAGGGCTGGCCGGCTCCGTGTGCTCACTCCCAGCCGGGGCTTCCTCCTGGGCTCAGGTCCATCCAGTGGTGTCATGGCCCTCCTTGGCCTCCTGCTCAGGTTCAGTGCTGGGGAGTTGGCCCCGCAGCTTCCTTCTTCCCTCAGTTGTATTCCGTGCCTTCTCTCCCAGGTCTCCCTGCTTCAGGCTTGGGAAGGGTCGGGAGAGGCTTCCTTCCATAGTAACATCAGAACCATTTGGCCTTAATTCCGAGTGTGGAAGACCGAGGCCCTGGGGTGCCAGGGTGGCCTCCACATCTGGACTCTCTGGCGAGGGTTCAGGGAACAACTTGGGGTGCTCGTTAGAGGCTGTCTAGTTGGGTACAAATTTGGTGATCTGTTGGCTGAAAAGACAGGCCCACCAGCCCCTCCTGTGGTGTGAACGCCTGGCCCCGGGGTGCTCTGCCTCTCTGGGGGCTTCTTTAGCAGGGTTGGCAGCTGGCAGCCATTCTCCGTGACTAACCTGTCACTGAGCGATGAGCTTGGTGGATTCGGGTGAGTGGAGAGATGTCCCCATTAAAGGGTGATCTCTTGAAAACATCCTCAGGAAGCAGGTCTGTGCAGGTGCACAAGCCCAGGCCCTGCACTTGTTTCTGGGAGGGTGTCTGCCGGCCGCTCTGGGGGTCCCTGCAGGATTCCAGGTATGTTCTCATTGGTGGGGAGTGGTCAGCTGGGGGAGCAGGGGCTTTTAAGGGCTCACACCCTACCTGGCTCCTTGAACCCCAGCAGACCCCCCAGCATCAACAAGCAGACTCAGCCCCAGAGATTTCACTCCCAGACAGCTCCTCTCCACACGGGCTCTGCTCTCTTGGAATCCGGCTTTTAGCAACTTGACATCTTCCGCAGACAATAGCAATTGGGTCGGCTTATGAGCAAGTGGCTCCTTCTCCCATGAGGCTAAATATAACTGCACTCTCTTGAGTTGGCTGCCTCGTGACAAAGGTCCGGGCCATTTTGCTCTTGCTCATCTCCCACTGGCCGCAAATGCCTCACTGCTGCAGGTTGAGTGCACGTGGGTCCCACTTTCCACTGAAGAGAGCCCGTATTTGGGAGACTTCACTTAAACTTTCACTTTTTTACGTCAGAAGTGCGGTGGCTCAAGTTCTGATTTATAGTTGGCTTTTCTTAAAAATCAGCCATTAGATGCTTGCAGAAAACCCCAACACCACGGCCCCCCGAGATTGTGATGACAGCCTCAGGTTATAGAGTGTAATGGGTATGGGGTGCTGGGCAGGTCCTAGGAAAGGCATGTCCCCTGGAGAGCCAAACCAGGGAGCTGGAGGCTCTGGGTGGATAAAGACATCTCACCCAATCCCCACTGATGGGTCATGGAGACTGTGTCTCCTTAGAGCTGAGCTGGAGGAGGCTGGGGCAGCTGTTGGGTGGCGTCCAGCAGCGTATGAATTCAGAGAGCACGTGCTGGTACCTCTCGGCTTCAGAAAGTGGTGTGGCCCACACCAAGAGTGCCCACAGAGGGACCACGCCCTGGATAGCATCCTTCCTGTGGAAGGAGAGGCAGGGTCCCATCTCCCTCACCCATGGAGAGGGACAGGGGCTGAGCCAGGATGGGCCTGGGCCATGGCTCCCAGCAGCCTTTGCTCAGGGCCAGGAGGGGAAGCACATGGTGGTGGGTGTGTGTCACAGGGCTGTGGTCCAGGTGACGCCCTGGGGCCTTGCCAGGCACCTCCAGCCAGGCTGGTCCTATTGATCCAGAAACCCAGCCCCAGGGTAGAAAGGATCCCAGCCCAAGGCAGGGTGTGGCCCCTTCCAGCCTCCTCAGGCCTCTCTTGGCTATTCCTGGCCCCACGGTCCCTTCTCAGAAAGAGTGCCCTTCAGGGGGCTTCATGTCTGTCTTTTGATTGAAGAGAGCAGACCCCATCTAGTGCTGCACACGGCCTGAGGCCCAGCTAGGCTCTGCTCCCCTGGCACCAGGACCTCTGGTCTTGGAACTCTTGGAGGGCGGCCCTCACTGATCCTGTGGGGCTGTCCCAGGGGGCAGCAGGCAGGCTGGTGGGCTGACCCTGAGCCTCACTTAAGCTGGAGCCCTGCCTCTCGCAGCTGATGCCCATGAACTCCTGCCTCTGAGAGGAGACTGAGGAAGTTCAGAGCCAGGAGGGAGGGCTGTGCCGGGCTGTCTGCTTGCCCAGGGGCCCTGAAGGACAACAGCAGGGTTGTGGCTCCAGGAGAGCTGGGTGGGGAGGAGCTCCCTGTCACGCAGCATCCCCGCTCACTCCAGAGGGAGGACCTGCTGAAGCCGCCGGCCTAACAGGCTGCTGCCAGTGGGGGCCGCACCGGGATCAGGGCCGCAGCCTTGCCGTTTACATTACCGCAAACCCTCTTGCCTTACTCGCGGTGGGGGCTGGGCCCGGCGCGTGGCCCACAGGCAGACACAACATCCAGGCCACAGGACAGCTTTTCTGATCATATGTACGGATCTTCATTCTCAGAAAGCCTTACTTTTCAACAAAATTTTTGTAATAGGAAAGTTTTGTGAATTTGTACGCCGAAAGAAAAGTTAAAGAAGTCCCCGTTAGAAAAACAAGCCCAGTGTCTGGATGGGTCTCCAGTGCAGGGGTGGTTTGGGCGTCTCCGCCTCCGGCGGGCACTGCCTGAGCCCTCAGCACGCCGCACCCTGGGTGCCCTGCCCTGGGCCCAGCCAGCTGGCCTCCAGTCGTGTGCGCCCCAGCCTCAGGGCCGGTCACCTGAACGATGACCGCTTTGGGCTCTGCGGCCTGGGGCGCGAGCAGTCCCCCTAGCGCTGGGGCGCAGCCCAGCCTGGCAGGGCCTCCGTGTAGACAGCGGTGCCACACCTTGCCACAGCCACACAGTTGGTCAGATCCCTCCCACTGGCGCCAGAGAAAACATGCTTCTTTAAAGAGAAAAGAAAAAAAGATTAAAAAAAAACCCACAAAACTCAGACCGCAGCGGAGCTCTTGTAGCCTAGGTAGGATAGTCTGCCCTCCTAGCGTAGTCTCTTCGGCAGATAAATTGTGTTTCAGTGTTGGGGGCGACGTCCTGGGGGCGCGGTGGCAGGGAGCCGGCTGCCCCGGGCCCTGTGTGCTTTCCCAGCTGTACCTGGTTGGCTTCGTGGAGCTTGAGGAAGGGTGGGGGCCAGGACTGGCCGCACTGGGCAGTCCCGCCCCGCTCCACCTGGCCCCGCCCCGCTCCACCTGGCCCCGCCCCCTCCACCCGGCTCCGCCCACCTCCGCTCCCGCTCCGCCCACCGCAGCCTGTCCTCCGCGCAGGCCGTGACTGTCTTGCACTAGAGCCGCTCTAGTCTCTCAGGAATTTGCTTGTTACTTTTACTGTGTAAATAAAGCTTCCTGGTTCAGTACCCAACCAATGGGAGCCGGCTGTGTGGTTTCTGTTGAGTGTGGCAGATTGATGGCCCCCCCACGCCTGTGGGACCGTTGGCTCTGGGCTGGCCTGGGCAGGGCCTGGGCCCTCTGTCCCCTCCGAGCCTCAGGGTCGGGTCGGGTCGGGAAAATGGGGAGCACGGGCTATCGGGAGGCTCAGATGCAGGAGGCTGTGAGCGACTGTGATGGGAGAACCGTGATCACGGGGTTCCCAGCACCAGGGCAGTCAGCATGTGTTTCGGGTGGAGGTCCCTGCTCCTCACTCCAGCCAGGAGCCAGGGACCCCAGGACAGCAGAGCCAGGACACCCGCTCTGTGTGACTTCTGAGTCAGGAACAGTGGAGGAACCTGCCTTTCCCAAGCCCTTGTGAGGACATCAGCTCAGCCCTCAGCAACACTGAGGCAAGGGCGCCCAGCGGTTTGCCCCAGGTCGTGCTGTTACAGAGAGCCTGGCCTGGAGCCCCGCGGGGCCACCTGCCCACCCAGGGTAGCTGAGCAGGTGGCACAGGCTGGGACCCCACGCCCCATGGAGGGCAGCATGGCTCAGGTGTGCGCTGCTCGGGCCGAGGGGACGCCCGTGTTCACAGCCCAGCCCAGACTGGGCTCAGGGGCACATGGACCCTGCGCCTGGCCCCCAAGTCAGGGAGCCCTCGCTAGCCAAGCTCAGGAGACCAGGACTTTTGCAGCCTCGAGGACAGGCTTGGGGAGGCTTACTTAATTTCTGTAACCCAAGGTTGGCCCACATAATCTGACCACAGAGTTTTTGCCTAGAGATCTTAATGGTCCTGAGGACGCCCCTCTGGGAATGAGACTCCAGAGCGCTCAGTCCAGACTCTTCCTGTTTGTTTTCTATTTAGCAGTTTTCTTTTTCAAACAAAATGGCCTCTGGATGTCTAGTGCACATAGCAGGTGAAGCCAGGCTGCTATGGCTGAAGCTGGGGGTGGTGAGAGGAGCCCCTACCCCTTCCCCCAGCAGCCTTTCAGCTCCAAGGCCCAGGGGTCCAAGGCCTCATGTCCCCCATGACTGCAGGGGAGGCTCCCACATGCTGCCCACCTGTGGGGAGGACACGGAGTGGCCCCGATGGACCTGCAGCCCTCAGAGTCCCTCACCTGCCCCCACCCAGGTCCCTGGCTGGGCTCAGTCTGGTGCTGGCCCTGTTGTCAGGGTGCAGCCTGGGTAGAGCAGCCCCTCCCCGGCTCAGCTCGCCCCGCGGTGTCTCCTCCGTGGCAGAGGGAGGCTGGCACCTTGAGCCTCTGGGCCTAGTGCCACTGAGGGCCACCTGCATCTGACACGAGCACTGTCTGTGGGCCGCCAAAGCCTCCTCATGTGTAGACAGGACTTGTAACGCTCAGGCTTAAATGAAGAGAATCAACACCTAAAACCGCTAGTACCACACTAGACAGTTCTGTCCAGTGTGTGTCAAAAACATTTATCTTCGTGTGGAAAAAGGGATGAAAGGAAACACTCAAAATATTAACAGTGGTCAGGCTCTGAGTGACTTTTTGGTTCTTTTTTATACTTTTCTGTTGAATTTCCTACAGTAATACATATTGCTTTTATAATCTTAAAAAAAATGAAACTAAAGGAAAAAATGAGATACAAATTGACCCGTCTGTTTATCATCTAAGGCAGGGCAGTTCTGAGTGGGGAAGCTGCAGCTACGGGATAATCACGCTGGGGTGGGAGGTGGCACTGGGGCACAGAGCAGGCACACACATGGGTCCCTCCTCACCTCTGTGCCCCTTCCCTCCTGCCAGCTTCCCTGCGAGGAGCAGGAATGGCCCAGTGCGTAGGCTGGGCCTTTGGAGGGAACTTGTTCAACCTGATCTGAGGGGGAGAGAAGCGCTGAAGCTACCTGGGCCCCGCGGTGGGTGTGCACCTGCTGGGAGGGCTCGGACCCCTCAGCCAGCTCCCAGCGCCTGTCAGACGGTTGACAGCGTGGACCTCCCCTGCGTTCCCGTCCCCCAGGTGCCATCCCCTCTCTTCTCATGGGAGTTTGGGTGGGGCTGCCTTTGCCCTGTCCCGAGGTCAGTCGGGAATTTCTTGGGACCCAGATGGACTTGGAAGTCACATGGGATGAAAAACTCTTGCTGGATTAACTGAGTTTGAATGGGGTTTTCACGCAGGCTGGTACATTGTGTACCCTCAAGTTGGAAGATCTGGAGGTAGGTGAGGCCCTTGTGTCCCCAGCCTGCCCTCCTCTCCACCCCGCCCACCTGACCCCTTCTGGCAGTGGGTTTGCTGGGTGCCCCCCGAGCCTGGAACGTTCTGCTGGCCGTGTGGCAGATCTGGGTGCATCTCCTGACCACAGACAGGTCCTTAGGCCACTGCCTACCCCGAACTCCAGCCCTACCTGTGGTCAGTGGCTCTGTCTGTCCCTGGCCTGAGAACGGTGCCCACCCTGCTTAGGGGTGTGGAAGGAGGGTCTGCCACAGGCTGGAGCTGGGCAGCTGGAAGGACCCAGGGGTGAGGGAGGTCAGCCTCACTTCTGGGCAGCACGGCCACCCTGGGTGGCAGCAGGACAGGGGTCATCATCCCCAGCCACGTGACAGGGCACCCTGGTGTGGCCTGGTCCCTGACAGCGCCTGGCAAACGCCTGTAGAGGAAAGGGTGAGGTGGCTGAGGTGCAGTAGGGATGGACCTCAATTTTGTCTCCAGAGAGAGGATACCAGTGTGCCAGCTCACCTGGAAAGTCACAGCCACTGGGGCCACCACAGGCCACATCCCCATGGGGGGATTGTGGCAGGGACTAGAAAGGGCATTGGATACAGGGTTAGACCTTGATACATGCTTCAGCTCTGCCCTTGCCAGTTGTTGGGCCAAGGCAAGTCACTTTCTCTGCACCTCAGTTTCCTCATCTGTAAAATGGGGCAACAACAGTGTCCATGTCACTGAACCCATAGCTTGGCGGGGGTAGCATGTTCTCTGCCCAAGATAGGGGTTCTGTGCCTGCTGTCCCTCTGACACCGTCTCTGTCCCCACTCCTGGGCAGCAGCCATCAAGGGGAGGCTCCACTTGACCACAGAGAGTGAGACCACCAGCCTCCTTCCTCCAGGGCTGCACTGCCCTGGCTGCAAGCCCCTGCCAAGGACAGCAGGAAGGGGCAGCCCACGAAAAAGGAAAGAAAGGGAAAAGGAAATAAACCGAACAGAAGGCTGCGGCCAGTCCCCGCACAGTCACTGCCCTCCGGGCCCCGGTGAGCAGCTGCCCACTGCATGTCTGCTGACCGCCCGGCTGATCGCCTAACGAGCTGCAATTAGGGACTCCATCCAGGAGCAGGCGATTTGCATGTTTTCCAGCTAATAGGCCAAACGCCCCTCCTCCCCTTGCAAGCCAATGACACCAGCCTGGTCGGTGGCCCCTCATTTTGATGAAGAGACTCGGCCACCACCATATCTTCCGAATTCTGATTTAATGGTGGCCGGAATGGCGGGCACAGCCTGGGGACAGCACAGCCCCCGCCGGCCCTGGGCTCCTGTTCCAGGGAACTCAGGTTCCGGGTTTAGCTTTTAAATCTTCATCTGCCTTCATTTAATGGAAATCTTGTACGGAGGACTCAGGACTTCTCTTAGAAGGAGTCTTCCAAGATTTGTCAATGGCTTCTGCACTGAATTTGGGGAGGAACAGAGCAATCAAGTTATCTGTTCTGCTGACTGATTCTGAAACCTGAAACCTGGGCTGTGAGTGAATTGGGGAAGCCGTGGCTCACCGCCCCGGCCTCAGGGCTGCTCCATGAGGGAAGGTCCACCTGGTCCCCACGGGTCCTCACTTTCCCCGCCTGTTAAACCAAGAGTTTGGGGCAGGCGAGATGTCTCAGGACCCTGGCCCCCGATGTTTAGAGGGTCAAGCACATGGCAAGATCAGGGACGGTGCCCCCTCCCACCCCCGTGCAGTCGAAGCCCAAGTCGTCGCTGGTCAGGGCAGAGTTTATTATCCGTTAGTGTCCTCCTGCGCACCCTGGGTGTGACACATTTGGAGTTAAGGCTCCAGAAAGTACTCTCTGCCTGCAACCTGGATTCTAGAGGTTACAATTCTTGCTCTGTAGGATGGTGGTCTTCAGAGTGCCCCTGAGGGCTGCTCCATTTTGCTCCAGAGGTGACTTGGGATGAGAAGAGGGTGGCTGCATCGGTAAGGGGTGCGTGGGGAATGCTGGGTGGCCACTCTGACAGCGGCTAGGGCCCAGGGCCGCTGGGCAGTCCCGGGGAGGCGGGTTCAGCTCTGGGCTGCGAGGACGGTGCACAGGAGGCCCCTGCTTTCTCCAAGCACCTCCCTAAAATGCCAGGACTGTCTGATAGGAGGCAGTGGGCAAACACCTGAGTCCAGTTAGGTGGAGCATTTAAAGGATCTGGTGGGAATGGAGAGTGAACAGGCTCAGGGATTCAACAGGTCTGCCCCACCTCCTGACTCCACCAAGGACGCACAGGCAGGGGACAGGCCATCAGGTGGGGATCAAACTCTGCCCAGGCAGCTGGGAGGTGTGACTGGGGGCGGGGGGGGGTTCTGCAGAGGGAAGCAGAAGAGGGGCTGGTGGCTCAGGCCCAGGAACAGGGCAGCCCCGAACTGCCTGGCTGGCCCCCTTCCACCTGCCTGTCCAGGGCAGGGGACAGGGCCTTGCGTGGTCTGGGCACAGGGAAGGGTGGCAGGAGGCTAGAGGCCCTCCCAGAAGGCCCGTCACTTGTCTGTGTGCTGCAGCAGCAGGTCCACGGCCTCCGCGAGGTTGTCCACGTACCCATCAGCCTTTACTTCTGGATGGTGCTCATCACTGGGCCTGGAGGGCAGGACCACAGGTCAGTCAGTAAGCCCATGGTGACCCATCCGAAGCCGCTGTCTCCCAGCATCTAGCACAGGCCTGGCGTTGCCCTTGGGAAACTTCCAGGCCCCACAGTGCCCCGTCAGGCAGCCTGGCTTGTGGCCAACTGTCCCACACCCCAGTCCCAGCCACCCCTACTTAGTCCCACACACCTCCCCCCTGACTGTTCCCTCCACCTGGACACCTCCCCTTCTGCTGGAAGCTTGCTCGGAGTCCCGTGGCAGAGTGACCACTGGCCCCTGCCCCGTCCGTGCCACCACACCCTTGACTCTGGATAGGGCTCTGAGCTCAATCCTGCTCTGAGCTTCCTGCCCAGCAGAGGAAGGCTCCTTGCAAAGCTACTCTCCGGCTGGGATTTGAGGGGCTAGAACCTTTCAAATCCCTCATCCATCCCTTCCAGGTAATTCCTGGGATCTGGCTGGATGCTGAGAACAAAGAGAGTGAGGCCACATGATACATGCAGGTGCCTGTGAGGTACATGCAGGTGCCTGTGAGGTGCATGCAGCACCAGGGGAACCCCGTGTGGGGGCTTCATGGAGGAGGGGCTGTGGGCTGAGTCCTGAAGTTGAGCAGGGCTCCAGGTGGACTTGTGGGGGTGGGGAAAGGAGAACTATAACGGGGTCAGAGTGGGCTCCAGGGGACGTCCCTGAGTCCTGACAGTTGTGGGAGGAGCTGGGACCTCATCCCCAGGGCTGTGGGCAGCCTAGGGGGCTGTGAACCAGAGCGTGAGGTTCTGGTGACAGGAAGGGCCCTCCCCCCTGCTCACGGGCTGGAGCTTGGTGGGGGTGGGGACCGCCCCGTGCAACCTCGCACGCCGAGGGCCTACCCGCTTGGACCACCCCACGGTCTGGCCGAGCGCCTGGGGAAAGCCGGAGGCAGCAGCCCGGCCACCGCCACGGAGGCCCCCGCCCTGGTCTGGAGGAGGCGGCTAGAGCTGGTTCTGACAATGTCCTACAAGTCAAGTTGTCCCTTTTGAAGGGTTTGGCGTCTGTAGAGCACTTGACCCTAAAATGGCTGTCATGGGCACAGTCACCTTTTCTTTCAGAGTTCTTAGCCCGGTGGCCTGGAGGCCACCTCCCCAGAGGCTGCTGAGGCGCAGGACCTGGGCAGGGGCTGGAGGGGTGGGGAGGGAAGTGGATGCTCCTGGTGACTGAGGAGGGCCCACCTTTGGCTCTGCCCTGTCCCCCGCCCCAGCCTGGGGAACCCCACTCGCTTGCCCACATCCCCGGGCCTTCACACGTCTCATCATTTTCTCCTTCCATCCTCGGGGAGGAGGCAGGTGCCCCTCTCCGACAGGTGAGAAAATGGGGGCCCAGAGAGGTTTAGGACTGCTTGAGGCCATGTGGCAGGGAGAGCAGCGCTGGGATCTGAGCCCGGTTCTTCTGACTCTGGGCCATTATTCTGGGTGTCAGAGCCTCCAGGAACACGCACAGCTGCTGGACATTCCCACCCCTCCAGGAAGGTCCCAGGTGGGTAGCGCCCACCCCAAGCAGAGGCCACGGACAGATGCCAGGGCCGGCGGACGTTGCTCCTCCCGCCTCCCTCATGTGGCCACCCTGCGGCTCGTGGATCAACATACAGACAGGCACCCCAGGGGGTGCATGACTCCCCCAAAGGTGGGGCCCCAAATGTGAGCCTTGGGGACAAGGGGACGAGTGGACAGGGACCCTCACCACCACCACCGGATCAGCTACTCTCTCGTGCCAGCGGAGGTGTTTTAAGGGATTATTATTTCGCTCTTGCCAGACCCAAACAATTTAGTGAACACAGGAATTT